GGTAAATTGACTTTCTGAATACAGGAAATGCAAATAAGTTGGACACGCTCAATCCTTTATGTGACATAAGTTAGTTAGTTTGCCTGGTGTGTTTTTTTGGGAAAAAAAATGAAAGGGGAGCAGATTTAATTATTTCCCAGTTGAAATTTTTCATGACACGCTTGAGACACTTCATTGGGCTACACATTACAATGCCTTTTCCTCATCTGAATCCTTTGTGTTGAATAAATATATATTCTGTTCTTGGTAACTTAATGTATCCATAGCAGTAGCGTTCCATAATTGGGGCTGGAGTTATAAGAGAAGAGTGTCAGCAATTGTCAGATAGTTCTAGAAAATTCAATAAAAGGTTAGACTTACAAATTACTAAGCCTATTACAAAGCATTTATACTGCACATAATAATAGTTATAATGCATTTGAAAAAGAATGGCATTGTAATAACATAGTTGTTAGTATTTCAATATATTTAATCAGTTTTCCTATTTTCCAATACTTTAAAATCAAAGTAATTGATATAATGTATATAAAATATTTTGGTAGTTCTATTAAGAAAAAATATAATACAACATAGTGTAAAATGTACACAAAACACTGCTGGATGGAAAGCCACAAATGTTATGCAACTTAGGTAGAAAGTAAAAAATGGGGAAAATTGGAAAAGGGTTTAAAATATATTCTCTATTGTTTTTGGACAAACTATAATTTTCTACAGCTGTGTCTAACATTCTTTTGAGGGCATCATTAAATGTGTAAGTTGGATATTTTTTCAAAATTGTATATGTGTTGGTGTCGCTTAAAATATGATTTGATCCCCCTAAATTTGAACATGATAACTATGGCTCCCCCCTTATCTGCCTCTTTTTTGATAATATTGTCCATTTCTTGAAGTTTCACAATGCTTGCAGATTCTTCTTTATTTAGATTGAATGTATTTCTTCCTTTTATTTGTTGTAATTGTAAAGATTTTAAATCATGTAGAACCATAGTATTGAAAGTTTCTAAACTATGTCCTTTTTCCCCTACTGGGTAAAAATTAGTTTTTTTTCTTGAATTTTTTAATTTTGCCAGTTATACCCTCTACTGATGGTGCATTTCCCCCTTCTTTGCAATTAAAGAAAAAAAAAATCTCTTTAAAGTTATTTTTCAAATGTATTTTTCAAATCTATATATGTTTCGAAATGATTCATCGTTTTATTTGGTGCAAAATACAAACCTTTTTTGAGTGCTTTTATGTCTTCCTTTGTTAGATCTATATTGGCCAAATTATAAATCTCTACCTGTTGCTCTATTTCCTCCCCCTGTGATTTTGCTCCAACTCCATGTTTTCTTCCAATCTCTTTCTTTTTGGAGGCTTGTCTATCAAATCATCCAGTGGGGTAAATTTGTTTTCCCATTGATGATTCCTGGGTTTGAAAAAGTTGGTGATTCACCCCCCTTTTGGGCTTGGCTCCCTCTCTTAAAAATGCTCCTCCCTTTCTCGGCTGCTTTCCACGTGTGGTTTAGCTGCTTGTGTATATGATTTCCGAGTGGGGGGTAAGATCGAGTGACGTGGGGAATGACGAGTTTCCCTATATGACATTCTCATATTCTTGCTATTATCCAAAGGATGTACATGTTGGGCATTCGTAGAGGAATTGGTGTGTGGTTTGTTATAGGGGTAGGAGTTCTTGGGAGTTCCCCTCTTGTAATTGAAATATCTAAAGTTGGTGGTTGTGGTTCTATTAAATGTATGTCTTATTCTACGATTTTCTACTCTATTTACTGTAGAAAAAAGTGTTCTACATTTTATCATCTCTATCCCTCTTCATTTTCTTGTTTTTTGTTTCTGCTATTTTATCTTCCAATTCTTTTAATTAATTAATTACATCTAATTCTTTTTCTTTGTATTTTACAGAATCTCTATTAACATTCTCTTGAATTTCAAGTGTTTTAATTTTTGATATAATGTTTGTGAGTTAAATCATCCTCTACTAGAACATATTCGGAATGCTGAATTATCTTGGAGAATCTTAAAGCCAAATTTTCCAAACCAGCCTAAAATTAATCCCTTAAAAATGTGGTTACATGTAGCCACAGGACCCACATTTGAGGTCAACATGCCATTTATTTATGTTTGTCTTTGTTCTGCTCAATGTAATTTGTTAATAAAAATGTGGCCAGTTCTCACCAGGCACTTTTAGTGTTTACATTTGTTTCCATATAAGATTGATCTATGGCAATGCTTTGGCTAATTTGTGGGTTTTCTGAGATTTGTAAGTCCTGGTACATTTAAAAAAGTATCACTGAATGCTTGATAATAGCTGTGATCACTTCTGCTTCTCGTCTGACCATGCCTTTGGATTTCCCCTTAATCTGTACTGTGTTTTGGATTTTACCTGCTTCCTGTGCCATCTCATGCAACTGGGCTCCAACTCCTGGTAAACTGTTCCATAAGTCCCCTGGTGACTGTTACAGTCTGTATATAATGTGAGCTTAATGCTAACGTGCATAATGGAAAAAATAGGTTTTGCATGAGTAGGTAAATGTGTGTTGGTAAAGAAAGGTTGTTGCTTGTAGTAGGTGTAAGTGATGAGGCAGTGGATAACGGGACAGGTGTGATAACAGCTTATATATGGAAGGTGATGGGTAGGTAGTGACTGCCATTGTGGTCAGCTTTCCCAAACATTGTTGGCTAACTATTCTAATCTAACCTCAGTAGTCTGTGAAGGGTTACTATAATGGTATTTATATAATGATTTACATCATAAAATAAAGCTGTGGCGGAACCAGCCTCGCCACTGGGCATTGGAGAAGACTGATTGCCAGCCTCCTGCCATGTGACTATGGCCCCTGGGATGTATTGCCCTTTAAGGAACTGATTTGGGGCTTATGGACTTGTATTGGACTGTGTATCGCCCTTTAGGAACTGTATTTGGACATAATGGATTTTTATTGTGCTGCTGGCCCTTTAACTCCAAGGGTAAGGATCTGTACTTTTAAACTGGCACTTCGAATGCAGCCGAAGTGCCAAAGTAGTCGAAATGGCCGCCATTAGAAAAGCCATTTTGATTCATTCGAATGCAGTCAGCGGTGTGTGCCGTCAAACTCATGGAACTAAAATCGGCTACAGAACTGCACGAACGGCAGCTGAAGTTTTACCTTCCCTGGAACTAATGCATTTGACAGTTCATTCAACAGTTCATTCAACAATTCGAATGGTTGTCGTTCGTCTGTTTGAACTGACTCTAACATGGGAAATAGACCGGCCGCATAGCCTGATTCTCTGGAACTGTTTTGGGCATAAAAATGTGCTTGCGGTCAGTCAAAGGTGACTTACATCTCCCGAACGGCTGAACGGATTTGAATGATTTTTGGATATGTTTGTATTTGAAATATGCTAATTAATAATATGCTGATTAAAAATATGATTATAATATTATTAATATTGGATGTATAGTTTTAGAGTTATGAAAGTTGGGTAAAAAGTATGTTTTAAACTGTACGGCTACTTGTGTTACCTCTTAGGCTAAGGGGAGGAGATGTGTGGGATGTAACCAGTGTGTGATTGGGTAATTCATGATTGTCTGTGGGCGTCTCCCTTGCACGGGAGAATTGGATAAAAGCAGAGTGTGTGTCATTAAAAAGCTGAGTTCTACTTCACTCTCAATTTGGAGTGCCGTCTATTATTGGGGGAATCTGCTACAAGGGATTGCTATGCTTTGCATATTCCCTTGCTATAATCTTTTAAGAGCTTGTTCCTGTCGTGCTCTCTGAAGGAGTCTACGGTGGTTATGGTGTCGGCTGGAGTGCTTGAAGACCTCAGGAAGCACTAGGAGCATGCTTCAACTGAGGTACAGTCGGGGTGCCAGGTGATCCGTTACAAAAGCATAATTAGTTTAATGCTTTAGCGGCACCATTAGGGGCAGCGTGTAGGGTTCCGTAAGCCATGTGCTTCTGGGAGTGACATCACAGGAATGCCTACTTAGGAATACACTGGATAAAAAACAGATGTGGGAAGGATTCAGTATCTTTGCTTTTCCTGACTAAACCTAAGATGTAGTACCAGCTTAGACTTAACCCCAGCCAAAGGGCTGAGGCTTTGTAGGTAATATGAACCCATTGTAACATCTAGCATGTGTTATAGCCTGTATAAGTTTGTTCATGTTTAATCGATTGGTACATCTATGTTTTTAGTATTGTATAACTATTGTAGTACAGAGGCGGCTCTAGACTTTATGAGGCCTTAGGCGAAACTCAAACATGAGGCCCCACTAACAAAAAAGTGTCACATTGATGTATGTGTATGTGCCTGAGAGTGTGTCTGACAGAGAGTATCCTTTTGTGTAAATGCATGTCTCTGTGAGCATGTTTGCGTTTTTGTCTGAGACCCTATGTGTATGGGGTAGCTGCTTGAAGTGTGTATGGGGGGGGTGATGGTGAGAGGGAGAGGGAGTGGCAGCGCTCTGATTGGCCCGTTTTCGCGAGACACATGGTCTGCAGCTCTGCACACTGCGGAGCTGCAGACCTGTGTCTGCTATGGTGGCCGGGCAGCCAGGAGGGGCCTCACACCCGGCGGCATACCAGACAAGCCGCCGGGCCCCCTCCTGGTGTCAGGTCCTCGGTCACTGACCGAGGACCTGACACAGTCTGCCATAAGGCGGTATAGGCGGCTGCGAGGCCCCAACAAGCACGAGGCCTTAGGCGGCCGCTTAAACCGCCTAATTAAAGAGCCGTCTCTGTTGTAGTACATTGACATTCTGCTAGCATCTGTTACTTATTATAATTATATTAAATATACATGTAATATTACAACATTTGTGTATTTTCTATCCACATATTCGACCATAATACCACGAACTATAAAAAATATTAATGTTGTTACTTCTTGCTTAAAGGACAACTCTAGGCACCCAGACCACTTCAGCTTAATGAAGTGGTCTGGGTGCCAGGTCCAGCTAGGGTTAACCCATTTTTTTATAAACATAGCAGTTTCAGAGAAACTGCTATGTTTATAAATGGGTTAAGCCTTCCCCCAAAGCCTCTAGCGGCTGTCTCATTGACAGCCGCTAGAGGCGCTTGCGTGATTCTCACTGTGAAAATCACAGTGAGAGCACGCAAGCATCCATAGGAAAGCATTGATAATGCTTTCCTATGCGACCGGCTGAATGTGTGCGCAGCTCTTGCCGCGCGTGCGCATTCAGCCGACGGGGAGGAACGGAGGAGGATCGGAGGCAGAGAGCTCCCCGCCCAGCACTAGAAAAAGGTAAGTTTTACCCCTTTTCCCCTTTCCAGAGCCGGGCAGGAGGGGGTCCCTGAGGGTGGGGGCACCCTCAGGGCACTATAGTGCCAGGAAACCGAGTATGTTTTCCTGGCACTATAGTGGTCCTTTAATTATTATATATTAATTAAAAGATGAATATGCATCTTTAAGTCACGACCACAACACTTGCCCTGTACATACATTAAAAATGTTTACAAACATTAATAAGCATATAGTCATATATCCTATAATGGTTCTGTTTATATGGATTCCATGCAAATTTTTAAAATGCACAAAATTCAAGATAGGACTCTAAAATCTATTAATTATGAGCATTTAGGAGATATCTCGATCTTGCGCCACTGTACCTCCTTAAATTATTCACCAAATTCCTCTTCCGACTATTCATGTAAGCAGCGGGAGACTAAAAGACAGAGGTATACAGCAGCTGGTAACTTTGAGAAACATAGTTGGAAGGCTGATGTTGATTCATGCACAGCGTTTCTTGTCAATGGATTATTGGATAGAACAGTGTAAAGTAAGTAGTGCTTAATCTGATTATAGAGAAATTATTTCATTGGAATTGAGTCAGGGTAGCAAGGGGTTCCTATAAACGATGCAACTCCACCAACACCAATGTAATAAAAAGTATTAAGTAAGAATGTGAAACACTATTGCTAACAAGAAAGCATATATTACAACCAGAAAAAAAGGATAGTTGGTTACAGAAAGTAAGAGGGATTCGGACGGGATAAAAGAGTGTTGATCCCACAAAACAATTCCTGAATACATTTAATGATACACAGGTAATATATGACCAATTATTCTAGAAAATATGTGTCTGATTCGAAGTGCATATTTTCTTCATCATATAGTAATGGTATACATTTAACTTGTTTATCTACACTCTGTATGTGTTATGCCACACATAACGTTTTATGCTCATGTTACTGTGTTCAAACATTTAGATGTGTGCTGACATATTTATGTTATTTCTTATTAAATACATTATATTTACATGCTCACTCATCTCGTTTATGTCACCAGTCAGCTGCTAAACAGACAAAAAATGTATTATATGTCTTTCACAAACATACACATACACACTCACACAAGCACACACATATACAGCAAAAATACTTAATCACTCTAAAATCTGAATTGAAAATGGTAAACGAAATATTAATCAGTCAGAGGGACTGTGCAGCTGCACTTTTCCTCCAGGGTTACATGGCTGAAATATATTTTAGATGGCTTCAGGGACAAGTGCATGATCCGGCTTACTTTTAATATTAAGTCTTTGTGTTGGGCTTGTTCAAGACTGACCGACCTTGGAAGAGTTTAAGCCAAAGCATGGAATCTCTGGCCAACCCATCAGAGATTCAACTCTAACAAATGGAGAGCTCTGCATCATACAAAGTTGCCAATCCTTTAATCTTCTGCAGATCACAAAACACCTAATAAAATTCTGGAAACACAGTTTTAAAAAATCACTTAAAGGGGTCAACATGCTTCCTTGAGCTTCAGCTCTGCCATTTACTGTATACAGTCATTATATGCATTTTATATCCAAACACAGCAGGACGATTTATTCCTCCTCCATATTTTATGTAACAGTTTTACTTTTTACTACCATATTAAAAATTAATTGTTTTCCTGCTTTCTTTTGCGGAGACCCAATAAGAAGTTAAATGTTTCTCCAAGATTAAATTGGCATGCTCAAATTCTAATGAAAATAAAAATCATTGAAATGCAGGGATCAGAAAATTTTGCAAACTCCTAGGGATTACACATTATTTCACACCTACAATGTTATCAATCTGCAAATCAATCTATATACAAAAGATAAGCTTCTTAAACAAATGCCAAACATGTGTAGTTTTATCAACATCCTTTTATCTAATTCTAAATTAACTGTCAATCTGTGTCTGGTGTGATTACTTCCCTGAGAATAACTATAATCTCAAAAACATTCTGTAGCTTTATATGTTGAAGAATTCTGTTTGATTCTTCTTTACAGAATAATTTTAAACTGGTAACATTTTTTCACTTCAGGTACTGTCAGAACTGTTTGATTAATTTTTTGACTTGGGCATTCCAAACAATTTCTATTCTCTTACATATTCTTTATTTTATTCTTTTTTTTTTGTCAAAAATATCACTTTTTATTTCTTGAGTGTATAGATTATTATTGTTATTATTAGCTTTAGCATTTTTAGCATTTATTGAACAGTGCTTACAATTATACGGCAAATAATTGATGATCAAGATGGGAATCAGCTAACCATTTACGATGAACTGGTGAGAACTATCAATGTGAAAGCAAACAAAATACGGTATTCCATGTTTCTCTATGGTAGAATCTTAGGAGGATTTCTGCAAATGCCTAAGGTGCCCAATACTCCTCTATGAGGAGCAGTGATTTGGACCACCTGTTGGTACATCTCCAGCATGCCATCCCTGGAGGGGGAAGCTGCATGTTGAGTCAAGCTCACCTTTCTTAGAGCCCTTTAAATCCCTTTAAAGGTTGAAGCCAACTGAAGAAGCTGAACCAGCTAAACCAGCAAAAAGGATAAAAGTCTTTACAGACTAAAACATTGATGTAATTTGACTGTACTCGCAATAAATACTTGAATTTGGTTAAAAATTCCAGTGAGAGCTCTCGTTCGTGATTAGTTACTTAGTCAATACTGGAGATTGCCTCTTGGCAAGTACTTCTGACAGATGTGTGCAGGACCGTGTGTGTGTGTATATATATATATATATATATATATATATATATATATGGGAGTCACAGACCTGAGTGCTCAAATCACAACTGGGACTACTACTGCCTTCACTTTCTACATCCTTTCTAGCTCTTCTTTCAGTCCTTGGTATTTCTCCACCTTCTCATGTTCCATCTTTATAGCAGGTATGGTATTATGACATGGCAGGGGGGGAAATGGCAGGATGGGTATTATGATAAGGTGGAGTTTGGGGATATAAGGCAGGGAGGGTATTATGACAAGGTGGATATTGGGGATATAGGGCAGGGAAGGTGTGGGTAGAATGGCAGGGACAGTGGGATTATAATGGCAGGGAGGGTGAGGTTATAATGGCAGGGAGGGTGGGGTTATAATGGCAGGGAGGGCAGGGCTGCCATCAGGGGGCGACAACCACGGGCCCGGCGGCCCTAGAGGGCCCAGCCGCCCATGCCCCATGTGTAGCGGTGGAACTGTCGCTGGTGCAGTTGCACCAGAGCCCGCACGCTGATGGAGCCTATCGGGTGGCCCATGCACTTAGGGCCACCCGATGGCCCCTGTATCTTCAGGGGCCCGGTCAGTGCTGTGGCCATGGTATAGCGTATGTATGTATGTATGCATGCCTGTCTGTATGCATGCCTGTCTGTATGTCTGTCTGTGTATGTATGTATGTCTGTCTATGTATGTATGCCTGTATGTATGTCTGTATGTATGCATGTCTGTCTGTATGTATGTCTGTCTGTGTATGTATGTATGTCTGTGTCTATGTATGTCTGTCTGTATGTATGTATGTCATTATGTGTGTATGAATATCAGTGTATGTATGTCTGCATGTCATTATGAACGCGTGTATGTATGGATGTCAGTGTCTGTATGCATGTATGTCTGTCTATATGAATGTATGTCATTATGAATGTGTCTGTATGTCCTTATGCATGTGTGTCTGTATGTATGTTAGTATGTGTCTGTCTGTCACTATGTACGCCTGTGTTTCTGTATGTGTGTATGTCTCAGTATGTGTGTGTCAGTATGTATGCCTATATGCGTATCAGTATGTGTGTCTGTTAGCATGTGTGTGTGTGTGTGTGTGTGTATCTGTGTCATTTTTTATCAGTGAATGTGTTTGTGTCTGTGTGTGTATTCCTGTGGGCGGGATTTGGAGGCGGTCCTTGTGGGCAGTCTTGAATGCGGTCTGGAATGCTGGCCCCTTGGGGGCCCAGACCCTGAGCTCAGTTAGAGGCCCCACAGGTGGGGGCCCTGAGGGAGGGTATTAAGACAAGGTGGGGATTGGGGATATAGGGCAGGGAGGGTGTGGGTAGAATGACAGGGACAGTGGGTTTATAATGGCAGGGAGGGTGAAGGTATAATGGCAGGGAGGGTATTATGACAAGGTGGGGATTGGGGGTATAATCAGGGGTGTGTGTACCACGAGGCAAATAAGGCATTTGCCTTGGGCGGAACTTTCCAGGGGGCTGCAAAAAAACGCTTCACCCAAATGCCCAAGCAAATATCCTGTTTGCCTCGTTTTATGGGTAATGTAGGGAGCCGGTATGTGACATCATATTCCTGTTCCCAGCATCACTCTGCGGCGCATGAGGGAGCTGAGCAGAGAGCTACGAACAGGAAGCAGCTCTGTTTTTCGGGGCTCCTTACACAGCTCAATTTCTGGGCCCCCAAGGCCTGACCGTGAGTATGCCTACAAGGCCCACCTACCTACCTAGCTCTCCCTCATACTTGGGGACTTTAACATCCCAATCAACAACCTCCATTGCCCTGATGCCTCCCGTCTGCTCTCTGTACCCTCCTCCTTTGGCCTCACGCAGTTCTCTACTTCAGCAACTCATACAGCGGGAAACGCTCTTGACCTCATCTTCACCAATCTATGCACCACCTCTAATCTCTCCACTGTTCCATTTCTTTTGTTTGAACACCATCTGATAACATTTGACATCAGCATATCCCATACCCAAATTTCACCACCCTCAACTCTCCAATCTCGCAGAAACCTCAACTGCCTTGATCGCCAGCATTTCTCCACCAAACTCCAAACACTCCTTTTACCCATCTCAAATCTAACTTGCCCTAACTCTGCAACCTCCCTCTACAACTCAACTCTCTCCTCTCAACTCGACATCCTGGCACCTCTTGCAATTAAACGCAGCAAGCGTCCCCCAATTGGAACCATGGCACACCAAGCTGACTCGTTACCTCCAAAA